AGAGGCCTGCCTTCCAGAACTCCCCTGCCCTGAGGTGCTGGCTTGCAGCGGCCAGGCTGTTTCTGGACTCCAAAGTGAGGCTGCTGAGCAGTGTCCATCCCTGCCTGCTTGTCCCTCCTTTGGGAAGTCCTGAGTGACTGCCCCCCTTGGACTCATGGCCCCACTGTGTCTGCTGTCCCGCCGGGCTTCATCCCCATACAATTTTCTCTTTTCTGGGTTCCCCATATAATTTGGATATGTCTCTTGTCAGTTACTTGTGGTGCCAGTATCCACCCTGTCTGTATCACTTCCCCTTACTACTAAACTTTAATTATATGTGGTTCACCTCCCCAGGCTCTCCTTTCTGGATTGAGCAGGCTTAATTAAGCAGTCTTCCTGAACACAGGGTCAGAAAATGATTCTATGTATTTTTTTTCCCGGCTGGACAGCTTGATTCTTAAAACCTCCTTCAGCTCACTGACAAAGACCTAGACTTTCTGCAGCAGATAAAGGTCACATCCCAGCTCCCAGCCGGAAAGGCGCGCCGCTTCTCCCCGCCCAGGTAAGTAACCTGCCTGTCTGCCACCCTCCCCTCTGCCCAGGCGCCTCTACCTGTCCACCCTGGGCCAGCTCCATTGTGTTTTAATTATTAGAGATTACTAGAATTTTTTTTTTTTTTTTTACTTAAAAAAAATCAACTCTTTGAAGTATAGTTACTGAATTAGCACACACACTGAGGTGTCCATGCCCGTATCGCCACATAATTCATATACACAGTCTGCCCCCCAGCCCCTGCCCCCCAACCAGGGCCAGATTTCTGCCACAGACCAGGTGTGCTACTTGGGACCCTCCCTGTCTGAATGGAACCATTCAGTATTTACTCCTTTCGCTCAGGAAACACTTTTGAGATCTGCTCCTGCTATTGGGTACTTAGAAGCTGGGTGTTTTGGATGCTCCAGGGCACGCCCATCACAGCTTTGTCTACTTTCTGAGGGACGGGCTGGTTTGTTTCAGCCTCTGGGTCACACGCTTGTGTGTTTCAACGACACGTATTTCACTTCGGGTGACGACCACTGGCTCGTTGATCGCTTGTCCTTGGCGCGAAGCCAGGCTTATTGGTGCTCCGCGCCGACGCGACCATCGTCCGGCCGCCTCTCTCTGGCGCACTGGTTCTGAGTGGTCGCCGCGCGGACGCATTCCCTGTGTTGAGGTAAAGCCACACTCCCGGATGCCTGACGGGTCGCACTTCCTTGCGCCCGTTACCTTGTGAAGCTACGCCACCGATCCTGTGCCCTGTTGCCCAGCGCCTGGGCAAGGTTAAGACGCCTGATGCAAGGTCTACATGTTGACACGGTAACAGCATTCCAGCTGATGACCCATTTTCGCTTGCGAACAAAGTGTTCATTTTTCACGCCTGTTACCAGCGTCTTGTCTTTACGGTTTGTCCTTTTAATGCCCTTTTCAGGAATTGTTTTGCCTGCCAGCAGCAGAGGCGAGAGTAACTTGCATTTTTCCAAGAATTTTATGGTTTTCTTCACTTTAAGGTTTATGTATATTTGGAATTGATGTTTTTGTTGTTTTTTTCCTTAATGTTTATTTATTTTTGAGAAAGAGAGACAGACAGAGTACTCCAGTGGGGGAGGAACAGAGAGAGAGGAGACATACAGAATTGAAGCAGACTCCTGGCTCTGAGCCGTCAAAGGCCAGACTAGGCTCAAACCCACCTAAATCAAGATGTGATCACATGACCTTTGAGCTAAAGTCAGACACTTTAACCAAATTCAGGCTACTCTGCTATATTATTCTCTTAACGGATTCTGCTATAGTGAACAGTTTTCTTTTTCAGATGCTGAACCAACCTTGCATCCTTCAGGTAAACCCACCTGATTGTAATGATTGTCATTTTTAGTTATTGCTGAATTTTTTGTATTGTTACACTGGAGAAGTTTTGCTTTTATGTTATTTTTATTCAATCATCCTGAGTTTACTTATCCTCCTGCTTTTTTGATTTCTTAAATGGGGCTTGGTGAGAATTACTGGATATCTAGCTCCATTTTATTTGTAAATTTGAAACTATGAATTTTCCTTGTAAACCCTGCTCCAGCTGCCTCCCCACAGGTTAGTGCAGAGTGTGTTCCCAATAATTCTCCTAGCTCAAAAATATTTTCTAGTGACTTTCTTTCTGAACTGGGTTATTTTGTATAAGGTATGCTACTACTTTCCAAATATTTAAGGATTTTTCTACTTATCGTGACATTGTTAGTGACTTCTAATTCAACTCTGTAAAGCTCCAGAGAACGGTTCTTAGAGTTACTTTATGCCACAATGTAAAGCATAACTTCAGAATATACCCATACACAGTTCAGATGAGGCAAGGTTGAAGTTGTCGGTGGGTGCAGCCGGATCTGGACACTGGGTCAGGTCGCTGATGCATGCCATTCAGCTTCTAGCATACTACTGAACTTTTTGGGGGAGGGAGTCTGAGCCCATCCCCCACCCTCTCCCCCCACCTGTCTTTGCACAGGCTGCACGTTGCACACACCCCCAGCCCAAGTCTCCAAACCTCTTGACTTTGTTTTCGTTTTACTCTTCTCATTGTCCTCTGTAGCGCGTGTCTGCCGTGAGTCCCATGCTGTCCTCATCCACCTCCACTCCCAGCTTCTTGATGCATCTCTCCCGACTTCTTTCTGCTGGAGTTTCACCTCTCCTGCCGCTTCTCTCCCACATTCTTGCATTTCTTCCTGGAGGTGGTTGCTTCACCGTGCACAGAGCCGTGTGCACAGAGTGGGCACGCAGAGCCGTGTGTACAGACCCATGTGCGCAGACCCGTGGGCACAGAGCCGTGTGCGCAGACTGGGTACAGACCCGTGCGTGCAGACTTGTGTGCAGAGCCCACACTGACAGCCTCCTCTGGGCCCTGGTGGGGGTCAGTGCTCCTTCAGTCTTCGGGCTCTAGGCCCCACGTCCACTCTCAGGCTCCCGCGGTTGGCACAGTCTGATGGGAATGCAGGGTGCTTATGAAGCGGGGGGCGGGGGGTCCTGTGTCCCTGAAGGTCAGTGGCACCTGCCAGGGGCCCGGCTCCTTTCCTGCTGCTTGTGAACACGGGCAGGGTCCCAGGGCCACCCCAGCCCCCACACAGCCCTCCTGCGCATTTTGGTGGCCGTGGGTTGTGTCTGTGACCTGACTTCCCTGAGAGCCAAGGCCAGGGGAAGGGTTTTCAATTATCTCTGTTGTCGTTTTTTATTCCTTTCTGAAAGAGGTGATAATGCTCACCTACCATCCCTGTTCCCTCAGAGAGATCCCCAGAGAGATTTTGAGGCAAGACAGAGCATTACCCAGGTCTCTCTGTCTGTCCGTCTGTCTTTCCCCATCTCTGGGTCCTTCCCTGTCTCTCTGTCTGTCCATCTGTCTTCCCCCATCTCTGGGTCCTTCCATGTTTGTCTCTCTGTGTCCGTCTGTCTCCCTCCGTCTCTGGGTCCTTCCCGGTCTGTCTCTCTGTCTGTCCGTCTGTCCTTCCCCTGTCTCTGGGTCCTTCCCTGTCTCTCTGTC